GGGGAGGGAGAGCTGGGAGCTCCTGAAAACTGGGAGTTTTTACTGGTTTGCTCCCCACTGTACCCTCTGCTTTTAGCACAGTGCCTGGGACACAGTATTGGCTCAAAATACTTGCTGAATGAATGAATGAAGCCAGAGAGCAATGTAAGGCAGAAAGAAGACAAAGGTTTCAATAGCTCAGTCAGAGCTAGCTGGGGTCTCTCCTCCTTTTGCAGAAATCAAGAATATGAACTCCGGAACAAGAGGCAGGTTCAAATCCGGCCTCCGTGCTTGCTGAGAGACCTGTGACAAATGACTCAACCCCTCTGAGCTCCATATTCTTTCTCTGGGAGGTGAGAAGAGCTGTTCTTCCCAATCTTCATTTTACCTGGAAATCAACCCTCCCATATGGCAGGTGGAATAACTGAGGCCCAGGTGAGCCCCACAATACAGCTTGTGCCCCAGCCTTGAGCCCACTCACGTTCAGCTCGATGATCCACAGCAGGGAGATGAAGAGCAGGTCGAAGGTGACAAAGAGACAGAAGGTACGGCGGACATCAGAGATGGCCTGGCGCTTCGCAGGCGGTGGCAGGAGGAAGTGCGATGATAGGCTCTGGTTGTGGGACAGAGATGAGCTTAGGGAGGCCACGGCTGGCAGGCTGCGCTCCAAGTCACAGGCCAAATCCCTGGACAGTTTGTTCATCCTGATGGGCCCCCACCTCAAGGCAGGGAGGGTGGGGCCTCAGCGGCACAGCTGGAGGAGGGAGGGTAGCTGGGTCAAGTCAAGCACATTAGGGTCCTGGAGGTCTGGTTAACCTTCAACCCTTCACACGGGCCCCAGGGGCCCCATTCACTCCCCAACACCTCTGCCACACACCCCCCAAGCCTACAGCCCAGGGCCCTCTCTGCCCAAATTCCCTCCAGCAGCCTGACTTCCAGGCTAGAGGGGTTTGAGCATCTGTCTTCCTTCCTCACCACCCCCAGCAAAGCCCAGCAGCCCCACGGTTCACCCTTGGAGGGCTCTGAGGTCCTCTCCAGTACCTGGGGGCACAGCCTGCTCCTGCCAAGCCCAGCCCAGTGGTTCAGCCTCTGGTCCTGTCAACAGCCTCTCCTCTCGCCTGCCCCCACCCCCACCCCCAGGAGAAGAGGGCCCCAAGCTCTGTTCTTTGTTTTCCAAGCACAAAGCCACATTCCCTCCCAGCAGCCAGCCCTGCCCTCCACCCACTAATCCATGGCAACTGGGACAGACTTCCTAGAGCAGTCTCTCTTAGTGCTCTGTGGGTGTGGAGGGAGGACATCTTAGTCCCTTCTCTCTAGTGCCACCCCCACCACCCCCATCTGACGCCCAACCATGTCTCTTAACTAGACACTACAGATTGCTCCTAATGGGTGTCTCCAGGCTGCCTCTCTGACCCTGCAACAGCCACTTCTCCACACAACAGCCAGAGAAGCCTTTCAAAACATCAATCAGACCCTGCATCCCCACTTACAACCTCCAAAGGCTCCCACCGGTCAGAGGATAGCAGTACCCTGCTCACACACCCTTGCAGTCCAGGCCCTGTGGGGTGAGGTTCTGCCCTGCTCCTTTCAGAAGGTCTCCCCCATCTCACTATCACTGCCACCCTGGCCTTCTTTCAGGTCCGTTAATGTGGCAGCCCTGTCCCACCTTGGGACCTTGGACCTAGCTCTGTCTCACTGCTGTGTGGAATGTTCTTCCCAGCCTTTTCAAATGACAATTCAAAAGCCCTCTCCTCGGAGCTTCCCAGCCTCCTGTCCCCAGTCACAGTGCCATGTATGTACATTCTTCAGTGGATTCATCACTATCTGAAATGTTTTCTTTATTGTTCTGCAAACTCCATGGGCCTTTACTTGACTTGGTCACTGCTATCTCCTAGTGCCCAGCACAATGCCTGGAAACTAACAGGTGCTTAATAATTGATTGTTGAATAAACGGATGATCCAGAGGGTCTCCTGGCCCTCAGCAACACGCTGCGCAGCAGAGAGAAGCAGGTAAACCTTAAAGAGAAGAACCAGCCACTACCCAAGGCTGACCCAGAGCTCCACTGCCCACAGAACACTGTGGCCATGGCCGTGTTTCATGCCCACCCACGGCAGGATGGTTCTTCCTGTTCTACAGATAAGACAGCCAAGGCTCAAGAGAGGTGAATGGACTTACCCATCCCTTAGCTGCCTGTGCAGCTATGCTGCCAAAATTCTCGTGAACCCTAGAGACAAAAGGGGTCCCGGGCACTCCCTCCCTGGGGCATGGCCCTTGTGGCCCCCAAGCCTAAGATCCCTGCTCCACCAATTTGCTGCAAGGGACCCTAAAAGGCCCTGTCTCCTGGGTGGGGGAAGAAAAGGTTCAGTCTAGAGCCAGAGAGGAGCTGACTCAGTGTGGTGGGACCTGAGCTTCTAGGACTTGATTAAGAGTCTCCCTGAGTCTTCTCACCTGCCAGCACCAGTGGACAGATTTGGGGGCCAGTGGAAGGGGAGCCCTAGATGTTTGACCCTGACACTGGGAAGGTAAGATCTAACCAGTCTTCCTCTTGATTCACTGTTTCCTCTAAATGTTTGCTGTATCAACTACCTGCCACAGTCCCCTCAATCTACTAGGTCCAAAACACGGCCCCAGTTTGTGGCTGGCAGGAGGTTCTGAACAAGCCAGCTCATCCATCCCTCTGCCTCTGCGCAAGCCCGAAAGATGGCTCTAAGCAGAGGCACCAACCCAAGGCCACCCCTCAACACCACACTCTTGGGGTTCCCATCAAAGCTCATCCGGAGAGTACTGAAGGAAAGCTGAGCCCAGCTCTGGAAAGAGACAGTCAGAGAAGGGATGTGACAGGCCACTGGCAATGGGACCCCCCAACATCTATCAGCCAGATCTGGTGCGTGCCAGACTGCATGCTCAGCGCATCCCTCACCGTGACAGGGCCTCAGCTCCAGGGCAAGTGACATTTCCTTATCTCTAATAGCACTCTTGTCTCCTGTCAGACCTGTCTCCATCTCTCCCCTTTCCTATCTCACACACTACCTTTCTATCTTTTCTTTGTAAGTGTCTTTGTACCCCCCCCCCGCCCATATGTTGTCTCTGGGTCTTCCTCCCCATCTCTCTCCCATCTATGAGTCTTTTTCTCCACCCCCATCAGATCAGTCTCTCCCTCCCCTTCTCTAGTTTTCTCTTGTGTTTCTGTCCGTCTTCTCTATCTGCCTTCATCCTGTCCCTCTCTCCCTGTGCCCTATCTCTTTATCTCACTGCAGGGCTTTATGGCTTCCCTGCTTCCAGCCTGCTCCTGTGTCTGTCTTTCCCCCTGGCTTTTCCCTCCCTCCCTGGGGACAGGACTTGGGTGGCAGCAGCTTGGGTGTGAGACGCACTCAGAGTGGCAATAGCACTGACACTCACACACGCAGACAACCCTGATGAAGCGAGAGACACAGATGAGGGCTGAGAGCAGAGGTGCTGGGGAGCCTGGGAGCTACAGATGCAAGAGCATGTGGGAGCCAAGCATGGGGGCTCTGAAGCAGGGGTGGGGGTGGCTGGACAGAGCTGGAGGGGGGTGTTTCTCTATCTCCGTCCCCCATGAAAGTAGCTCAAAGCCCAAATAAGAGAGAGCTTGTGGTAGAATGAGGCCCGGTCAGAAGTTAAGACTGAGCCCAGGTCTTGGGGCAGCTATTAATCCTGAGTAACTTTGGGCAAATCCTTCTCACCAAGGAAAAAGGTCAGTGGTTTTTTTACACACACACACCCTTTTTAAGCAAGAGAAACTTTAAAATAAAATAAAACCCTACCTGGAACCTCAATATATGAAACATAAAAACAGGACTGTTATGGGTCCTCCCCAGAAGGTGGCCACAGAAAGCCCCACCAGTCAGACTTTCTACAAACTCGGAGTGACTCCTTGGCACACTCAGTCAAAGGACATCAAAAGGCCTTTCAGCTCCTTCAGACCACCTGTCAGTCTAAGAGGTGGAAACCATCCTGGCCTGGAACTGCCCTTAACAGTCCCCAAAGCCCTTGTTCTCTGGCCCCCTGGCCCTTGAGGGCAGAAGGTGGCAGAGCCAGCAGAACAGCTAGGCGTGCCACCATGCCCACCCTCCTGATGAGGGGAAGGCAGGTGTAAGTGCTGTGAGCTGGAGACAAGCAGGGCTGACATCCAGCCCCTTGGGAGCAACACCTCCCTCTCAAGCCCACCACCTGCTGTCACCGGCCCCTCCCAGTCGCCTTCAGAGGTGTTGGGAGTGGAATAGCATGTGTGGCGTGAAGGAGTCCGCCTGAGTTGGCTGCAGACTTGACATTCAATGTATTTATGGAAGCTGAGCTGCTAAGGCTTAGGGAGAGGAGGGAATGAGGGAGGGAGGAAATTGGAGGTCTTATCATCCTAGATTAGAAGGGGAAGAGGGGTGGGAGGAAGAGGCAAGTCAGGTCTCCAGGCAAGGTGGAGAGCTAAGGAAAAAGCCCTCACCCCACCCCCCAGGTCCCCAGGAAAGGCCAGTACTGCCAGTGCAGCAGGAGCTTTGGGTGGGGTCCAGGACTCACAGCAGACAACAGGCAGCTGATATCCCGGAAAGAGAGCTGGACTATGAAATCACAGTTCAAATCTCAGTCCGCCCTTAACCAGCTTTGTGATCTGGGCCAAATATCACCACTCTGAGATTTGGTTTCTTCAGTTGCATTAAATAAAAGCAACAATAAAATACAGTAAGTTTTCACTTAACATCCTCAAAATGTTCTATGACTTTAAGCAAAACTGTGCATAATGAAACTAATTTTACCACAGGCTAATTGATATAAACAAGAGTTAAGTTCCTGCGGCGATGTTATAATGAAATGATATTGAACCAAATAACGTTTATTTGAGGACCTACTGTACTTAATGCCACAGAACTATATACTTAAAAATGGTTAAAATGGTAAGTATATATTTTACCACAATAAAAAAGGCAACAATAATTGCTACCTCCTAGGGCAGACATCCATATGTGACATCTATATGGCAGGAGCTTTGAGATGGAACAAATAGCTGGCAAGACCATTCAGATGAGAGAGAAATTAAGTGTGTGTGTGTGTGTGTGTGTGTGTGTAGGGGGGACTTATTACACTATAGTGACATGTAATAAAATCACCCCAAAAACCTTTGTTAAAATCTGAGCTCTATAATTCACCTGCCAGGTGTTCCAGGTGTCCCAGAGCAAGCTCTTGGAGCCTTCAGTCCAAGTTCCCTCATCTATATATAAAAAAGGCCAAGGCAGCCAGGTGGCTCAGTTGGTTGCAGCATTAGCCCATACACCAAAAGTCTGTGGGTTCAATTCCTGGTCAGGGCACATACCCAGGTTGCAGGTTTGATCCCTGGTCAGGGCATGTATAGAAGGCAACTAACTGATGTTTCTCTCTCACACTGTTGTTTTTCTCTCTCTAAAATCAATAAAAACATATCCTTGGGTAAGGAATTAAAAAAAAAAAAAAAAAAAAAGGCCTAGATACTCCAACTCAGGCCAAGATGAATTCCCATGTGGGGTGTGGGGAAGGAAGTGAGAGGCTGTCCTGGTTGCCTGCACAGGCTTTCAGGGAGTGCCAGGACTGATCTCTGATACCCCTTCCCACTGGTGCCTGGCCCCACTGCAGTTCCAAGCTCCCGTTCCCTCTCCCAGTCACCCCCAGGTCCCAATTTCCACAGTTCTTAGGTAGCAGGGGTACAGAAGGGGTCCTTGTCAGGTCTCAGTCACACCCCAGGCCAGAAGGTGCAGCCATATCTCTGC